TCCATATTTTTGTATATTTTGATGCTATTTGGAATTTGATACACTATGGAGTGATTTTATGTATTTCTTGTATGGCTGGGGCACTATCAGCACTGGGTTTATCCATTCCTTTAAAATGTATCTGTGTTTTGTATTCAGACATGTTGATGAGTGCTGCAATCTATTGTGTAGATTCACTTTTTTCATATTATTAAACCTTGCTCAGGACTGATTGTTGGTGTAGTGATAGGAATTGATCGTTTTGTTATCCTGTCTTTTTTTTGGAAATGATACAGTAATCATAGGAGTGTGGTCTTATTTTATGCAGCACCTCAGTCCTTTCTCTTGCATTGCTAGAGCAGTATGGAAAAAAGATATGAATGATATTTTATTTGGTCTTCATGCAGGAAACATCTAAAGGAAATTCCTGCTTCTGCCAGGAACTCTGCAAACTGGACATGGGACTCCAAGAGGAGCTCAGACCTGCTTTGTGGAATGGGAGTGACACCCATGGAGAAAGATCCGCTGGAGACAGAAAAAACTCCTGTGGACCAAATTATGACAATTACTCCAGCAGAGAAGCGGCAGAAGTCAAAGGAGAAAGATGACACCTTTGTTATTGCTAGACGTCCGAGAGCAGCCCAAAATCTCTCCACCAGGTAGGAATTGTAGAGTGCTGTTGTCATGAATAGGTGTTCAGTATGTATGAGCCACTAAAACCCAGTGTAATGTCTACTGAGAAACAGAGATTACAGTTAAGGGCTGGTTTTGCAGACACCTGACTATTCATGGTTCAAGTGGTGGGCTACACCTTGCTGTTACTAGAGAGCCTGTGTGTTATGGGAAGCCAACACAAGACCTTTGAATGGTATTAATGCATTTTTCCACAAGGATTTGTGGGGGGTATTATCTTACTGATAAAGCCAGGCCTTGCATGTTCTTGCTGCTTGAATACACACTTTTGTGAGACAATGATGTCTAGTCTCCATGTGAGGAAAAACCTGTTTATCTGACTTTGCACAGATGTGACCTACTTTTTGTTTTTGTTTGTTTTTTTATTGACACAACAAGATAAATCCACAAGTGAAATTTATGTATGGGAGTGGTCTTATCTGATAAATAATTTACATTTCTGTCTAGCCAGTCCTGAGATTTACACACTCCTGCCATACATCACAACCACCTTGGTTGCCTCCCTGGCTCTAGCAACAGTAAATAAGTAGCACCCTGTAACTTGTACCCTACTTTCCTGCTCTTCTTTTTTTGGTAAATTTTGCATGCAGGAACCTAATTTGCCTCCAACGCTGCCCCAGTCTCACTACTGGGGTTTGCAAGAGGCTAATACTAAACTAGATTTAGGTACATACAGAATACTTTTAAAGTGTTTTTTTTTTTTTTTCCCTGGAGTCCAGGTTTAACCTCCCTAGCGGTATTCCCGAGTGTAGCTCGGGGTAAAATGTCAGTGCCAAAAGCGATAACCCCGAGCTACACTCGGGGTTACCATGCAGCGCTGCATAGGGAGTCCCTGCAGAGCTTACCTTGTCCTGCGCTCCCACGATGTGTCCCCTGCAGCGTCCCCGGCCATCTCCTCCGGCTGATGCCGGCATCCGGCTTCTGTGTTCCGGTTCCTGTGACGTTGGGACGTACGGGCGCGGCCGGCAGCGGGAAATTTGAAAATTTTAAAAAATTTCATTTTTTTCAAAACACATTTTTCATAGTAAAACATTGCTGTTTCAACCCATTTCACATACATTTTGTCCCGAGTGCTTTGTCCTGCGCCCTGCCTGCATTTTGTCTGTTCTTTCTGCCTGGAAACTGAGAAACGTCCATGGCGTCCAAAAAGCGTCCCTTTAGGTCAAAAAGCGGTTTTAGACCGGCTAGAGAACAGCGATAGTAAATCAGAACCACTTGCAGAATTGAGTGATAATGATTCGTGGGGAAATTCGTCATCAGACACTGAAAACGATTTTGCGACTTTGCTCAGTGATGTGCGAACTTGGCGCTATATTTCAAATTTCAGTGTTTTCGGTTTGATTATATTATTGAATTAAATGTATTATTATTATATTATTTTTTTATGATTATTTATTAAATTATAATTTATGATTGTGTTTCAAATTTTATCATACCCGGGATGTTTAATAGACTCTTGTTCGGACAGATTTCAGTGAGTTATTCCTAGATATTACAGCCTACAATAAAAAACTACATATTTCCATGAAAAATAATGGTACCGCTTTCAGCACCAAAAATCTGAAATCATACCGCTAGGGAGGTTAAAGGATAAGTTCACCTTTTGCACAAAAATAAATGCACATTTAAAACATTTTTTTTTTGCAGGTCAAAAAATGTGAATTTATTATTTTTGTCTGTAGGAGCCTGCAAAGCATTGCAACGGCGATCAGCAGATCGCTGGTTCCATGCAGGTCTCCTGCAGGCCTGTCAGTACATCTCCTTACCCATACGGGAAAGCAGATATATTGACAGGAAGATTCAGTGAACTACCACGGTGCTCCACAGTGCTGTGGTAGTGCATTGAAAACTACAAGCCGACAGCTGCTAAGGATGTCGGGACTTGTAGTTTAGAACTGTGACTGAATGACGCTGCTGTGTGGGTAAAGCCCTCGCACTGTCACTGTTTTTAAGTTTGACAGTTGGCACGGGGGAACATATTTCTGTGAGGGATGGGGGGGGGGGGTTAGTGGGTGCAGCTGCAGCATTGGGAATGTTACATGTTGCACCCTATAAACAGGTGTAATGTTCCCAAAGGTGAACTTCTCCTTTAAGAACTCCCCGTAAACACGTGTGCGTGTTTTTATACCACGCTGTAATATTTGCAATGCCTTTTGTGTTATCCTGCCAAGCCCTTGCTTCTTACATTTTTTTTTTTTTTTCTCTTTCAAAAGGGATATCATGGGATTCCCTACCAGATGAGTTAGTTCTTGGCATCTTATCCTACCTGCATCTAATTGAACTCTTGAAAGCGTCTCGTGTTTGTAAACGTTGGAGGAGATTATCGTAAGTATTCAACTCAAAATAGTAATCTGTTTTTACAGAGTGGATATGAGATGCAATATTATATTGAATATATTATCCATCAGTGACACTGGACCTCAGTATAGGGTGCCAATGTGATACCAGAATATAACAGAAAATATTTTTTTTTTTGTTCTTTTTGAGGCAACCCATCAGATTTTTTTTTCTAAAAAAAGAAAATTGCATTCATGCCCTATCTCCCTCACATTATTACCCACCCATTTCAATTTAAAGAAAAAACTCCGTATCCTAAGCATTCTTATTGTGCCATGGTTGAGCGTTTGTTCAGTCACCTAACAACATTGGAAAACATTGGTTTCAAAGGACATATTGATGTGTGATCATTCTGACTGGATGCCTCAAAGCTTTTTTGGTTTATGCTTCTCTATGCCTTCTGTTCGGTTTTTGGTATGACATTGTATGTTTCCTTTGCAGTTGGCTATTCTATGAATGCTGAATATTCTAAATAAAGCATTTGGGAAAAAAAAAAATAGAAAATTGTTGCTTTTGGAGTGGGTGAGCACCTGCCATAATGTACAAGTATGCACAGCCTACTTCCAAATCATGACACACTTAAACTCTAGTGTGCTGTCGGTTCAGCGAAGTGACTTCCATGTTGTCCTTTGCTGCTCTGCCTTTGGGTAGTCACTGATGATGTAATGAGACTACATTCACTTTTTCCGGCATCTTACAGAGGCAACGAAAGCCGAGGGTGTACACTGCACTTTGTGCCCTAATCCTGTCATTTGCAAACTCTGCCCATTCACACCTATACACACTTTTTTGTGTGCCCCTAAATGCATGGTACATTAGTGTATGTATGTGCAATACCGTTCAATTTTAATGGCAACTAACACACATATGTAGAGTTAGGCCCCTTATGCACAAGGATATCCAGGATCAATGCTTCCCTCCAGACATTTTAGTGTGCCCAGGAGAGACAGGTGCTATGTACAGCCCCACTGTCATTCTATGGGCTGAATGCTGGATCAAGTAGTACCCAAAGCTCTGGAACTCAGAAGACCTGGGTTCTGTACTCACAGGGCCCTAAATGGAGGTGCCAACTGGTACAGCATTCAGCCCTATCCCGTCGCAGCCTGCCATAGACTTTGATAGGCTGCCTGCAGCTGGGCTGGGTGCTGAACCTGTTGTCCTGGGCATACTGCTCCTAGACTGCCCTGTGTTCTAACATACCTGCACAGTTGTATGAAAAAAGTGCTGCTTGTAGTGTGCTGGAAAAAAAACGGACTAGCTTTAAAAAAAAAAAAAAAAAGAAAGAAAAAGTTGATATTAAAAGAAATGTGTAAGTGTGAATGGGCCCTACAGCTCAGCTGAAGTCACAGAAATCGATATAGAGATTGTGTTAAACAATGTACTAAGAATTTTTTTGTTTGTTTGTTTGGAAAGGGTGTTGAATTGTGACTAAACCAGTAGGAAGTGGAGTTTGACCACTTGGTAGTCAGCACTCCTTTGCATTTCCTTATCATAGAAGTATGAAAAGCTATATGCTAAGGGTTGTGGTGTCACAAAATCATAATATGCGGGGTACTGGGTTAATAAGATAAATACATGTGAGACTTCAGTTGGGCATTTTTATGCATATCAATACTTGAACACATTCATTGTATAAGCACTGACTAATGCTTTATGTAGCATTTTATTTCTTTGGGGAGTGGGGGCTGTTATACAACATCAGATTGTGCTATATCAAAATTTTGGACAAACAACATACCTCAGTAGTTTTGGTTCCTCAGATTGTGCCATAGCACTAGATGTGTGTGAATGCGGTTTGTTCACCCTATTATTGTACACTGATAAACATTCCCTCAGATAATTAGGCTATTCTGCAATTTTTGTGCATTATTGCCGATGCTTTTTTTTCTGTTAGAACGGATATCTTTGTGCATGCTCAGACTACATATAAAAGTGTTTGTTCCTTTCTCCTAGGTGTGATGAATCGCTGTGGCACAGTTTAGACCTCACTGGAAAACATTTGGCGGACGGAGTTATCGGAAATTTGTTGTCTCTGGGAGTGGTTGTTTTTGCGCTGTCCTAGATCTTGTATTGGAGAACCAATGTTTAAACAGATCAGGTGAGCGATCACCTAGACACGAGATTGAAGGCAAGAGATCCGAATAATCATTGATCTGCACATACACATGCTTTCTGGTATCGGCCAAGCATTTGTGTTTACGTATTGTGTAGACATCCCTGGTACTGAGGGGTCGGTAATGATCAGAATTTTGCAGCTTTGAGTGTATACATCCTCCATCGGGCACACACTAGTTTCCTGTACTGACCATAATGCCCCAGGTTCAGTATCATTGGGCACCTTAAAGCAAACCTACAGCCAAATGAATAGTTGCTGTTCTACCTGCAGAAGGATTTGTAATTTGTACAGCCAGCCTTGTGACTTGTACAACATTTCCAAAAAAAAAATGGTGGAGACACCGTGATGAAATGATTTATCTAACGGATTTAGCTGTTCAGAAAGATGGGAAGCTTAAAAGCTCTACTTTTGTTGAGGGGAAAAAAAAGCAATCCCTTCTGGGTGATCAATGTACATTGCACGGATTTTAACAAAATTTGTTAACTGAGTACTACCTGTTTCTGCTTTTATTGGATAGGTTCACCTTTTGAACTTGTTACCACCCATTTTTAGGGGTGAATCACACCAGTTGCAGACCAGTGCGTTTTTATTCTGCATCAAACATGCATGAACAATCTTTAACATGGATCCAATGAGCCTTGTTCACACCAGTGCAGTCAACAAATGTAAAACATGTTGCATTTTTTCTGTATGGAACACCACAAAACGCATCAAGGACGCACATGTCCTCAGCTGAGATGAAGAAAGGAGAAAAATATGCATGCAGATTTGCAGAAATTGTGTGAACCGACCCTTCGGGTGTAACCTAGAAACCCCCATTCCCACTTGGCCCCCGTTCCAAGTGACAAGTGGGAATTCCTCTCCCTGCACCTCCTTGTAGCATCCTAAAATCTTTGCAGCTGTGCAAGGCCCCGTCCACACTGCGATCTGTGAATGAAGAAACAAGAAGTCCCAACTGCCCCCACAGCTTGTAGCTTTCAATGGCCTGCAAGGGTGCTGATGAGCGCTCCTGTAGTCTATTGCATTTTCCTCCAGCTTTCAAGCAGAAATCCGTACAGAGGTACAGGCAAGAAAGCTGGAGTAAGTGTCTGCAAAAGTCTGACTAAATACACAATTTTTTTCCTGCAAAATTATGTGCACTTATGTGAACTTGGCCTTAAAAATCTGTATGTTCCACTGTGTCCTTGGAAGTGTGGTTCCTGAATGGGAGTGTCTGTGTTCCATGTACAGTGCCTTGAAAAAGTATTCATACCCCTTGAAATTTTCCACATTTTGCCATGTTACAACCAAAAACGTAAATGTATTTTATTGGGATTTGATGTGATAGACCAACACAAAGTGGCACATAATTGTGAAGTGTAAGGAAAATGATAAATGGTTTTCAAACTTTTTTTTTTTTTTTACAAATATCTGAAAAGTGTGGCGCATATTTGTATTCAGCCCCCCTGAGTCAATACTTTGTAGAACCGCCTTTCGCTTCAAGTTTTTTTGGGGATGTCTCTACCAGCTTTGCATGTCTAAAGTCGGACATTTTTGCCCATTCATCTTTGCAAAATAGCTCAAGCTCTGTCAGATTGGATGGAGAGCGTCTGTGAACAGCAATTTCCAAGTCTTGCCACAGATTCTCAATCGGTTTTAGGTCTGGACGCAAGCAAGAAATTAGTTTTCTGGGGAAGTTCTGTACACCAGCAGTATACAGAACGTCTCCAGAATTCACTGAATTTTGTAGAAAATGACAGCGCTACAGATTGAAAAGGAAAGGTAGTTTTTAATCATTTTAAATGACAATGTCCTGTGTACAAATTATATATGCTTTATTTACTATATTTTTTTTCACAGAAGTGGAGTTGTGCTTTAAGTAGGACCATTGTAATTCCATTCCGCGTTGTCCATGACTAGCCTAGAATTTACCAAAATTCTTACAGTCCACAGCGTATAATATGTCATGTAGGAAAAAAAAATACAAGAGAACAATAAACCAAAAGGAAAACTTGGCTTGTCTCAATCTCTGCATATAAAAGGTACATACTGCTCAGCATACACATACAGCAAAATATAAAATACGGCTATCCTTCCATTCAGAGATTCACGACCCTAAATATTTATTGGTCAGCGTTCATTGTTAGATTAGAGGAGCACCAAAAATCCCATACTTTGTTATATCTGCGTGGGCACCCTCGGTGTTCATACAGAACCTTCATATATGGCAGTATTTGGTTGACAGCACGAAGCACTGTGAAACGGGGGGAGAGGGTTGCATCCATCTAATGGCAATTTGTTTGTGAGCCAAAATCTGTTTTTAAGACATTTTGTACCTCCTTTTGCATTATTTGATGAACTCTATGGTATGGTGTTGCAGGGCAGTTTGTACTCTTTGCTTCCTGCAGTAGATAGATCAGTGGGGTAATTTCACAGAGATTACTAGTAAATTCCCAATCCGAACTGCTTGTGGTTGCTGCAGTTTACCATATACTCTGATCGAAGTATTTGAGTAAACCAGTATAATGTAGTTTCATTTACCTAAAATTTTTTACAGACCTTTGCGTCTACAACACACAGACTTTTCTCACTGCACAATCAGCATCGATGCTTTGCGGAGTGTAATTTCCCGATGCTACAGGCTACTGAATTTGAGTTTGGAGGGGTTGGAGCTGACTGATGACATCATAAGGTAAGAGACAGCAATGCCGTAGAGGCATTACATTTGTATACTATTGTCTGCTATACAACTTATCGCTTATTTACACTGTATTGAGGTTTCTTGGGGGTAGCCTAAATCAGGGGTCTCCAAACTTTCTAAACATAGGGCCAGTTTACTGTTCATCAGACTTTCGGGGGGCTGGACTGTGGCCATTGGGAGTAGAAATTGTCCAGGCGTCAGTGGGAGTAAACCAAGCATCTTTGCTATTAGGGGGAAGAATAGCGCCCCTTCATTGGTGTAGGTGGGAGAAATAGTGCCCAATTGTTGGTGTCAGTGGGAGGAATAGTGCCCCATCACTGGTGTCAGTGGGAGGAATAGTGTCCTATTGTTGGTGTTATTGAGGGGAAATAGTGCCCCATTGTTGGTGTCAGTGGCAGGAATAGTGCCACATCATTGGTGTCGGCAGGAATAGTGCCACATCATTGGTGGCGGTGGCGGGAATAGTGCCAATCATTGGTGTCGGTGGCGGGAATAGTGCCACATCATTGGTGTCGGTGGCGGGAATAGTGCCACATCATTGGTGTCGGTGGCGGGAATAGTGCCACATCATTGGTGTCGGTGGCGGGAATAGTGCCACATCATTGGTGTCGGTGGCGGGAATAGTGCCACATCATTGGTGTCGGTGGCGGGAATAGTGCCATTCAGTGGGAGGAATAGTATCCTATTGTTGGTGTCAGTGGGGGGAAATGGTGCCCCCTCAATGGTGTCAGTGGGGGGAAATGGTGCCCCGTCAGTGGGGGGAAATGGTGCCCCATCAGTGGTGTCAGTGGGGGGGAAATGGTGCCCCGTCAGTGGGGGGGGGAAATGGTGCCCCGTCAGTGGGGGGGGGGAATGGTGCCCCCTCAATGGGGTCAGTGGGGTGGGGGGAAATGGTGCCCCCTCAAATGGGGTCAGTGGGGTGGGGGGAAATGGTGCCCCCTCAATGGATGGGGTCAGTGGGGGTGGGGGGGAAATGGTGCCCCCTCAATGGATGTGGTCAGTGGGGAGGGGGGAAATGGTGCCCCCTCAATGGATGTGGTCAGTGGGGAGGGGGGAAATGGTGCCCCCTCAATGGATGTGGTCAGTGGGGAGGGGGGAAATGGTGCCCCCTCAATGGATGTGGTCAGTGGGGAGGGGGGAAATGGTGCCCCCTCACTGGGGTCAGTGGGGGGGGAGGGGAAATGGTGCCCCCTCAGTGGGGGGGGGGGGGGGAAATGGTGCCCCCTCAATGGGGTCAGTGGGGGGGGGGGGGGGAATGGAACAAGTGAATTTTCTTCTTTTGCCAAGGACAAAAAAAAATTGTTCATTTCCTTGTAATGTTGTCAGCAGTCACTGCACTATTTCACTGTGTAAATGGCACGTTGTTATAATGTTCTTCAGTAATGCTTCAGCTCCTGGCATTGCTATTATGGCATCTTCATACATCAAGTGTCTTCTGTTGTATCTAAACAAGTTAAATAGTGGTAGGCCCTGCTGTTTTATAACAGAGCTGGAACTGAAGTTGTCTTTTAGAACTACATAGGTGAAGTGACTCAGCAGTCATTGAAGGCTTTGCGTCACATGGTTAGGTCCCTATAATGATTAATCTAGTAACAATAGACAATTAAAATGGATATACACTACGGTAGTCTGAAGGTTGCATGTGGAATAACGATTACAATAGATATTTAAATATTAAAAATATCTATTTTTTACTCATAACTACTGAAGGTAATACAGAGTTTAACTGGGATAACACTATGTAGGTACACAAATGGGTTCTCCCTCTGTATATGTATGGTGTGAGCAGACTCCGGAAGTCGTGATAAGTGTAGTGACAAATACCATGGTAACTGCATGATTACACTACATGTTGGTACACCGAGCATTGCAGGGAGTAGTGGAGCAGAAGCAGTCAAAGCCACCCATTGGACCTATGAAGCAGCATTTCCTCTGTATGGACATGCACTTGACTGTTAAGCCAAGAACAGTCAGAGAAGTTCCATAGGAACATGTCCTAGTTGTAAGCTTTGCACCACACTGGCAAAACAGTGCAGCCCAATGCGGCTGTGGCAAGGATGACCTTTTTAAATGTCCATTTACTCCTCGAGATATAAGCAGTTGTCTTCTGCTTCACGTTACAGCATCTCGTTATGAGGAAGGGAATAAAGCAGATTCAAATAGTTAAAGGACACAAATAGTTTATGCTTTTTAGTTGAATCTAGGAACAAAAAGTGGTTGCTACTTGTGTGTTGTAATGTTTAATAATAGACAACCCAGTTTTTCTATGTAATTGTTTTGGATCCTGTTCTCTTCAGTGCCATTGCCCAGAATTCAGATCTGGTAAGACTGAACCTTGGTGGTTGTTTCGGCTTCTCATCCGAATCGCTAGCACACATGCTGACCAGCTGCTCCAGGTAATTCTTTCTTCTTGCATCTCTCAGGCAGTATGTAAAATTAGGATCTTGTCAGGACAATGTAGAAAACTTTGAATAACCAATGGGATGCCCTTTTACCAAAGACAATACAAAAATGTCAAAATATTTCTTCAAAGGGGAACTGAAATGGAACTAGATTTTTTTTTTTCCCCTCAATTTTTAATACATATAAAATTGATTTTGTAACTTATGTCGGTCAGACAAGCATATGATGACTAAGTGCATAAGCAAAGTTTGTACATTTAGATAGAGGGATCCAAATGTATATTCAATCATTGACATTTCTGCAAATCTTGACCTTGCTGTTCTGACTCCCCACTAACTCCATTGGTGATGGTCTTGTGACCAGTAGGCTGGTAGTAGGAGTTGGGGTTAACTTCCCAGGCGGTATTCCCGAGTGTAGCTCGGGGTAAAGTTTCAGTACCAAAAGCGGTAACCCCGAGCTACACTCGGGCTTACCATGCGGTGCTGCTCTGGGATATGTTCTTCTCTTACCTTGTCCTGCGCTCCCGCGATGTCCCCCCTGCAGTGTCCCCTGTAATGTCCTCCGGCGGATGCCGGCATCTATCTTCTGGGTTCCGTCCCCTGCGACGTCGGGACGTACTGGGGACGGAACTGGTGGGAAATTTGAAAATTACAAAAAGTGACATTCACTAAAATAACATAGTAAAACATTCCTGTATCAAACCATTTCACATACATTTTGTCCCGAGTGCTTTGTCCTGTGCCCTGCCTGCATTTTGTCTGTTCTTTCTGCCTGGAAACTGAGAAACGTCCATGGCGTCCAAAAAGTGTCCCTTTATGTCAAAATCGGTTTTAGACCAGCTAGAGAACAGTGATAGTAAATTAGAACCAATTGCAGAATTGAGTGATGATTCATGGGGAAATTCGTCATCAGACACTGAAAACGATTTGCGACTTTGCTCAGTGATGTGCGAACTTGGCGCTATAGTTCAAATTTTAGTGTTTTTGGTTTGATTATATTATTGAATTAAATGTATTATTATATTTTTTATAATTAAATTATAGTTTAGGGTTTTGTGTTTCAAATTTTAACATACCCGGGATGTTTACTAGTCTCTTGTTCGGACAGATTTCAGTTTTTCCTAAAAATTACAGGCCTACAATAAAAAAAAATACATATTTCCATGCAAAAAAGTACCGCTTTGAGCACAGAAATACTGACATAATCAGCCCGCTAGGGAGGTTAAGCTTTGCGTTTCTAGTTCTTTACACTGTTGATATCTTCTCAGGATCCTACTGAATGTTAGCTTTTACTTATGGAAACCCCTGTATTTGCATAGTTTAAACAAGAAGTCCATGAGGTTTGCCTAGGTCAGGGGTCTGCAACCTTTAAGACATAAAGAGCCACTTGGACCCGTTTCCGAGAGGGAAAAAAAGACTGGGAGCCGCAAAACCATTGCAACATTTAAAACAAATCCGACACTGCATATATTGCAAAAAGCGCTCTGGTCATGAAGGGGGTTTAAGGGCCCAGTAAGCAAAGGGTTAATCAGGGCCACAGTGTATCGTCATAATCATAGCCTTAGGTCAGTGGTGGGCAACCTTTTTTTTCAACTGAGCCAAATCTCGCCAAAACCACGATTGAAATTTATTTTGAGAGCCACATTTTTAAAACTGAAAATACATCCCCATATAGTAATTCATCCCCCATATAGTAATTCATCCCCCCTATAGTAATTCATCCCCCCTATAGTAATTCATCCCCCCTATAGTAATTCATCCCCCCTATAGTAATTCATCCCCCATATAGTAATTCATCCCCCATAGTAATTAATCCCCCATATAGTAATTCATCCCCCCTATAGTAATTCATTCCCCATATTGTGTCAATTCACTTACCTTTGCTCCGCGCGTTCCTCTCGCCGTGTTCCCGCGCCGTTCCGGTCTTCAGGGCGGACTGTGAGAGGAGAGGAGTTCGTCACGCTGCTTCGCCTACATCCTGACAGCCAATGTTTGCCACGCCCGCGGGCTGGATTAAAAGGTCCGCCGGGCCGTAGTTTGCCCATTGCTGGGCTAGCTGCAGAGTCCTGACTTTTGGGGCGGCCGCCCGAGAGGAGGGAGGGGAGCGGGTGCCCGGCACACAGAAGAGCCGCATTAAAATGTGTAAAGAGCCGCGGCTTGCCGACCACTGAGCTACGGCAACCCTTTTGCCTGTCACTTGGTGGGCAGTGTGCTCCGGAGCCGCAGCAAAGGTGAAAAAGAGCCGCGGGTTGCCGACACACGGCCTAGGTCTACTGTACAATTGTTTCCAATAACAATGTAGTGCAAAAAAGCAACCCGTACAGATGAAAACTGAACCGATTATTTCTTTAGTGTCTAGGACTGCATAATTGTTGGTAAAACTAAAGGGGTTGTATGAAAACCAAACATGGAGGTAGTATACACTGGTCTGGTTTCTGAGTTTTCTATGCTCTGCTAGGTCTTTGCCATTCACAATGACAGGAAGAATGAAAGCATTTGTAAACTTTTCAGAGTGTACTTTAAGCAAAATTTAACAGAAGCGTGCTTCATTGGGGGCACTATAGTACATTACTTTGTTTTCCTGTTTGAAAGATAATTCCCCTACAACTGTATTTAATGCAGGCTGGATGAATTGAACCTTTCCTGGTGTGACTTTACAACAAGCCATGTGAAGAGCGCAGTGGTAAACTTTCCAAGAGGTCTAACCCAGTTGAATTTAAGTGGATATCGCCAGAACCTGGAAATAGCTGGTATATAAATTGAAACTAATACTAGCTGATTTATTTTTTTTTTTTATTGTCTGTTGCTGATGCATTGAGGCAGTGCGTAAAAAGATGTAAATCAGACTGATTTCAGCTAAATCTTGTTTTGTTTTTTTTGTGTTTTTTATAGATGTAGAGGCTTTAGTGCAAAGATGTCCTGACCTTACCAATTTAGATTTAAGGTAAGTAAAGCTTTTTTGTGGGCTTGGTCAGTTCTGATTGTTTTTGCTAGAAGAGAAGAGGATGGGATAAAACTGCTTTTCCTGTGATACGATAGAGCAGCTGGTTACACAGTAGGTGTGGGGGTTAGTCCCCGGTTACTGTGGGATTAGTTGATGTGTGCGCCGCTCTGCTCCCACCTTTCTTGTGTGGAATTTGCCCGGCAGTTGGGTTAATAGTTTATCCCCGCTCCTCATGCTCCCGTTCGTCTCCTTCCCCCTCGCTGCATCACAATCTCTTGATTGCAGATGACTACATCGGTGTCTGCCTTGGTAACAGATCGCCAAGAGTGAAGCTACATTGGGGACATGCAACAGGAGAAAGCACTGTACGGTAGAGTCTGCACCAGGGTGGATTTGATTTAAATCAAACTGATTTAAATCACTAGTCAGTAAGGCTTGATTTAAATCCTAGTTTTCTACATAGACTAATTCTTGCTGGTATAACTTTAATATACAAGTAGATGAAGATTTTTAGAATAACTTTTCATATTAGTTTTTTTATCCCCAGTTTAATAGGTTAATCAATCATTCATATTTGGACAACTTTTCTGTTGTACTTAGGAAGGAGAAAAATAATCATTACCTTAATAATAACAATTTTAATAGATTTATTCAACTGAAACAATAACATTCCAGCATATGTGATTTGCTTAAACATCCATGTTTGTTAACTAATTTGGCTAAACAAAATATATATATTTTAAGAAACTTAGACTGTCAGCCCCTTCCTCCTCACACTTAGTTTCACTTTCTTCTTGTGCAGATCTATTCCACTCCAAACAATCAGAAAAATATTGTTTCTATTCTATTCACTGAACTTCTTGAAATTTAGCACTGAAGGGGTTGATTCTGTATTCAGAGGTTTGTAGAAGTTAGGATGAAGGTCTTTTTCTTAACTCTGTTCATGTTCTAACATTTTTGCTGTGAAGAAGAGGCATGTGATCTCCGCTGAGTCAAATTCAGTTTTGAGAACTGCAAAAGTAAACCAACATCTGTGATAATATCTTGTAGGCAGAGAAACTGCCCAATAATCTTACAAAAACCTCTGGAAGAGCATGACATTGTGAATGGATTCATGGAATTTATTTACCAAAAAAAGAAACATATACAGCCTTATTCTACATAATTAAAAACTAATCTATATTTCATGATGGAATAACCTTTGGATGGTAATATATTTTCCTCAAAAAGCATTTTATTCAAAAAAATCTGATTTTTAAATTAAAAAAATCCTATTTATTTATTTTTTAAACCATTGCTTTTTATCCACCCTGGTCTGCACACTCTGTCTGTGCTTGTCTCAGGGGTGTCTCCTATCTATGGACAGGTTGCTGGGATTTTTAGTTCCATGACATCCCTATTCTGTTCACGCTTCACCTCGTATTAATAAACATAACACAGCTCTCAACTAACCGCATCGGTTTGCCGCTTTTGTCTCCCTACAAAGAAGGGAATAAAAATCGGCACGTTGCTTAGTGAAAATACCACACAATACATAGTTTACACATTAACCCTTGTTTGGCACACCGTTAATACCTTGATTGGCCCTAAATGGTAACCCCTTCCCAGCTAGTGTCATTAGTGTACAGTGTCAGTGTATATGATTAGCACTGATCACTGTATTATTGTCACTGGTCATGTCCGTTCCCAAAAAATGTCAGGTATTGTCAGATTGCCTGCCGCACTATCACAGTCCCACTATAAGTCGCTGATCGCTGCCATTAGCTGTATAAAAAGCAAAAAAAAAAAAAATTTTTAGTATAAATTCCATAGTTTGTAGACTATAACTTTCATGCAAACAAATTATACGCTTAATGGGATTTTTGTTTTACTAAAGACATGTAGCAGAATACATTTTGGTCTAAATTTATGAAGAGATTAGATTTTTTTTTTAATTTAAATTTATTGGATGTTTTATAGCAGAAAAATTAGAAAAAATTTTTTTTCACAAATTGTTTTTTTTTTTTTTTTAAATTTTATATAATAAAAAAATATAACTCCAGCGGTGATCAAATATCACCAAAAGAAAGCTCTATTTGTGTGAAAAGAAAAAAAAAGAAATTTTATTTGAGTACAGTGATGCATGACCAATCAATTACCAGTTAAAGTGGTGGAGTGCCAAATAGCAGAAAATGGCCTGGACATGAAGGGGGAGTGGACATTGGAAGTGGTTAATGGGGCGGACATCAGAGCTTTATTTGGCTGTACAAGACGCACTTGTACTGAACACCCAAGTGCTTCTATATGTGAGGGTAAGCTGAAGGAATAGTTTGATTTTGTTTTACTGGGGCCAACGCCTCATTCATTTACTTGCTCACCAGATGTGCTTTTCCTGAGTGTTAAGAGAGCCGACACTCCCCTTTCTTGACAAGCACCCAATCAGTGCTTTTTTTTTTTTTTACCAGGACAAGTAGATTGTCAGGAAGGACAAGTAGATTAGGCCCTCGATTTTAGTCCCTTGGACAAGTAGTTTTTAAAAAATTTGCACTCATAACCCTCCTCATTGCAGGAGTTTACTTCTTTTTGTCTTGAGAATGATGTGTAAGTTGAACTGCTTATCTTATTCCTCCCTCCCCTGGCACTCTGCTCTGCTGTTCAAAACATTGGGCAGTCCCTCAGTGACCTCCTGTACAATGCAGAATGCGAGGAATAAAATAATAATTCCAATCCTTCCAAACAGCAGCAGTTAACACACATTTTGGGGTCGGTCTACAAGGGTTGCTTCTCATAGTAGGGTCAAAATGACTGGAGCCAGCATGTTCCTTAACCGCTTGCTGACTGCTGTACATACATATACAGTGTGTGTGTCCTGTCAGCAAGTACTGTTTTTTACAGCCAGAGATCGGATGTTAAAGCGAAACTCTACCCAAAAGGGGAAGTTCTGCTTTAAGGACCGGTTCCCTGCTCCCCAATAAGGATTAGCACCTTTGGGAAGTGAGTACCCGAACTTGACAGGTACCCTCTTCCGCTGTGATCGTCTAGGCGAGTGGATGCGGAAGTTGTCCTACCCTCCATCCCCATAGTCTTCTGGGACACATGACATGGCCCAGAAGACTATGGGACCATTCACAAAGCGCAGCACTACTTGCGCATGCGCAGTGAGTACTTGGCTGTGAAGCCACAAGCTGTCACAGCCGGGTGCCCACACTGAGGGAGCCGGGAATACAGGGCTGGCTGGTGAAACGGACTGCGGGGAGAACACCGTGGGATCGAGGGATAGGTAAGTGTCCATTTTGTAAAAGTCAGCAACCACAGTTTTTGTAGCTGCTGAGATATACAGTCAGGTCCATAAATATTGGGACATCGACACAATTCTAACATTTTTGTCTCTCTATACCACCACAATGGATTTGAAATGAAACAAACAAGATGTACTTTAACTGCCGACTGTCAGCTTTAATTTGAGGGTATTTACATCCAAATCAGGTGAACGGTGTAGGAATTACAACAGTTTGCATATGTGCCTCCCACTTGTTAATGGACCAAAAGTAATGGGACAGAATAATAATCCTAAATCAAACTTTCACTTTTTAATACTTGGTTGCAAATCCTTTGCAGTCAAATACAGCCTGAAGTCTGGAACGCATAGACATCACCAGATTCTGGGTTTCATCCCTGGTGATGCTCTGCCAGGCCGCTACTGCAACTGTCTTCAGTTCCTGCTTGTTCTTGGGGCATTTTCCCTTCAGTTTTGTCTTCAGCAAGTGAAATGCATGCTCAATCGGATTCAGGTCAGGGGATTGACTTGGCCATTGCATAACATTCCACTTCTTTCCCTTAAAAAACTCTTTGGTTGCTTTTGCAGTATGCTTTGGGTCATTGTCCATCTGCACTGTGAAGCGGCGTCCAATGAGTTGTGAAGCATTTGGCTGAATGTGAGCAGATAATATTGCCTGAAACACTTCAGAATTCATCCTGCTGCTTTTGTCAGCAGTCACATCATCAATAAATACAAGAGAACCAGTTCCATTGGCAGCCATACATGCCCACGCCATGACACTACCACCACCATGCTTCACTGATGAGGTGGTATGCTTAGGATCATGAGCAGTTCCTTTCCTTCTCCATACTCTTCTCTTCCCATCACTCTGGTACAAGTTGATCTTGGTCTCATCTGTCCATAGGATGTTGTTCCAGAACTGTGAAGGCTTTTTTAGATGTCGTTTGGCAAAAACTAATCTGGCCTTCTTGTTTTTGAGGCTCACCAATGGTTTACATCTTGTGGTGAACCCTCTGCATTCACTCTGGTGAAGTCTTCTCTTGATTGTTGACTTTGATACACATACACCTACCTCCTGGAGAGTGTTCTTGATCTGGCCAACTGTTGTGAAGGGTGTTTTCTTCACCAGGGAAAGAATTCTTCGGTCATCCACCACAGTTGTTTTCCGTGGTCTTCTGAGTCTTTTGGTGTTGCTGAGCTCACCGGTGCGTTCCTTCTTTTTAAGAATGTTCCGAACAGTTGTTTTGGCCACGCCTAATGTTTTTTCTATCTCTCTGATGGGTTTGTTTTGTTTTTTTCAGCCTAATGATGGCTTGCTTCACTGATAGTGACAGCTCTTTGGATCTCATCTTGAGAGTTGACAGCAACAGATTCCAAATGCAAGTAGCACACTTGAAATGAACTCTGGACCTTTTATCTGCTCATTGTAATTGGGATAATGAGGGAATAA